TCCGCACCGCTCTTTGGAGCAGCCTGTGTGGCTGAAAGGTCCGTCGGTGCACCGTCCACTATGCCCAGGCTCCTGCGGGTCGAATGCACATCCTGGACCCATGGCTTGGGTAAGGATCAACAGTGGAAAGAACGGCACGGGGTGAAGAAGAAATCAGGCAACAGCAGGTCGGCCATGCAGACGTAGGCAAAATCTACTTTGACTTTTCAAGAAGGAGAGTCTTCCACATGAGCAGTTGCCATGCTCCGTTGCTGAACCAGTGGTAACCAAATGGTTAGTGGTTTTTTGGAACTGAACTCTCAATCACAACAGGACAGTTGCAGGGGAAGTACCATTGCCAGTAGCACAGCAGCTGAAGAACGACGGAAAAGCCAGGGCGTAGGAGGGAGCAGCAACAGCAATGACAACAGTTCGATAAAGACCAGAAGAAGGTGAGTGTGCAAGAGCGACGAAGCAGCACATACCTACACCTCGCCGCAGCCATGCTTTCATGTGTGAGGAGTGAACAGCCAGTCTTCTTGCATTGCCGCCTCCGCCTGGGGTTTGCTGAGAGCCCCAGGTGACACAAGGCCGTCATAGAACAGGTCGCACCGTGGCGAGGCCTAGTGCTGCTGCTGGTGTTGCTGTTGCTCTAAGAGATACAGCTACCGGCAATTCGCATCATCAGCATCAGCGTTTTCACGAATGACCAGAATGGCTTCGAGAACAACAGCGATGAGGAGGGTGGAGGGGAGCTGGCGGAGTGTTGTTGTTTGCCAGGACTCTCAACCCGAAATTTCCCGTCCTTGGCGAGGGCACTGGAGATGCATCTGACTCCTGTGCCTCGCCCCCAGAAGCGTTTCCGCGCGGACTGGCCATGGGCGGGATAATCAATACAGGGTGTAAGATGCAGTTTAACAGTTTAACCTATAGACTCTATGTCATGCACATGCTCTTTGTAGACGTGCTCGTCCTCCGAAACTATGGAACGTCGAGTCAACTGCTCGGCAGTACTGTGATTACATAGCTTGAGCTGGGCTCTTCTCCCGTAAGACCGAGCTTTCGACTTAACTTGCTTACCGGTCCGTGAATCATGGCAACTCAATAAGCCAAACATGCTGCCGGACGGGCGAGGCATCAACACACTGGTGTCCTCTGCGGCGCTTCGTTCAATACAGCACCGGCCGCTACAGATTCTGAAATCATCGATTGAGAAAGCCACCCAGGTATCAGTAGCATCCGAAACCTTCAGTTGAGAGTGAAAGGAGCTTTGGTATGCTACACGTCAGCCTATTGAGTGGCCGAATTAGCTAGTCCCGGCACGGCGGAGTCCAGAAGACGGTCTGCGTCGGCCAGATCTCGAAGTTGACCCTTCGCCCTGACCTCAGTCGCTCCCATGCGCACACACACACACATCCGAGTAGATCCATGTCTACTTGCATTGCCACATGTCCTCTCAAAAACAACCGTGTCTCCACGCGCAGCTACTGTATGCAGATCTGCACAATCAGCAAGGAATCACTTGGCCTTTAAGGGGCCTCCAACCTGATTGCCACCCTGCCACGACTGAGTGACAGTGAAGCACTACACTGACACCAGTTGAGTCATGTGGTGCATACGACGGGCTGCCACCGTACCCAGGCAGAAGCACGCAAAAAGCGGAAGAGCCGCAAAGGCACTGCCCGTGCAGATCCTACTCCAGCCACGGCTGGTGAAGGTGTTCGGTTGTCCTTCACGCGCGCAGAACGTACTGTAGGTCTGCGCACATCTCTCTGTAAGTGATATCTGGCGACAGATATGACAGTGAGTCGTGAGTGTGAATATCGACCGGGTTATTTGCCTTGCATGTGTAATTAGCTTTCTATAGGTTATTCGCCAAGTCTGAGAGACTGCATGACGATGGCCGGAGAGCCTGCTAGGCCACAAACACGCAGACAAAATTACAAGGTGGCGGCCAGGTCCGTGACAGAAAAGATCCATCTTTGCCCCCTTCCCTTGCTACAACGCAGCTTGTCGAAGGCACTTGCACTAGCCGATGCAGGCACCGAACTTGCGAGGCAAATGTCTCAGCATTACTACTCTTTCGGCCATGCTCAATTGAATGCTGCCACCGGCTTTCCCACAGCCTTTCATGCCATGCCGTGGTGGTTCGGTCTCCCATACATAGTAGCTGGACCTGGTTCTGCAAGCTGTCTTGATCGGAACTGTCAGCGCGGGATTCGGTTCGCAAACTCTCAGCCGAATCCACGCTCGAAAGAGAAGCAGAACCAGGCAATGCGGGTACAAGCAACCCGCACACGGTTACTGTCTGAACTTTGGTGAGTACTGGTATCAGTCGCGCATGCTCTGCTTAGCTCGGCTTCAAGGATCGCCTGTGAGACTACGAAAGCTTTCCGCAGCGATCCGAGTCAAAGGGGGTGTAACGTAGGCGCCAGCCGAACCGAGCGCCTGGCGAAGTGCTCGGGTGCCTGTGACTCCACCTCATTGAGCTTCCGCTCCCACTTCGCCTTGGAATGTTCGAACAGTTCTGCTTCCCGCCAAACCCAGGTCACAGCAACGATCACCAATGCACGCGCAAGTGGTCAAAATCCTAGGGAAATACAGCAGGTTTTCCGGAGATTTCGGGCAGCTGCTGGCACGTCTTCACTACAGCGTCATCTGCCTCTGGACACTCGCATAGGGCATAGGGGAGCACACAGCCCGAAATCTTAAAAGCTCATCGTGAGAACGGTTTGGGCTCTTACAGCCAGTCAGTGGTTTGAAAACCTTGCCCATGGAATATGCTGCCGATCTTGCAGGACCGGAATGTTTGCAGAGCATGCCAGACTAATTCAACCATCATTTCCGACATCGGAAGTGCCAGAGAGCAACTGCCCCAGGAATGCATCCAAACACTACATGTCCCGCATGCATCCCAAGCTGCAAGACAGATTGCTTGCCAAGAGTCTGCTGGCAAAGCTTCGGTATTGACACCACGGAGGTGTGATGAGGTATGCCAGGGTTGCAAGTGCTGGCCGGCCCCATCTCCTTCAGGTCTGCGCATAAAGCCCGAAACAATCAGCAAAAATTAAAGGGAAGAAGCGCCCTGCTTGTATTGCATTCCAACCACGAAGCCAAAAAAGCAAGGTCTCTGCAATAGTCATGACAAGACGGGACGGCACCTGCTTCGAAAATCCCCAATGCCATGGGCATCTACTTCGGGGCTCTGAGCTTTCTGGTATCCGGAATCCGAGTGTATTGAAACTTCACGCACATCACTTCTGCCACCACTGCAACAGCTCAGGTGTAACTACGTTTACGGTTGGGGGCATGGTGCTCGGGATGGTCCGTCGGCTTGGGTTGCAAGTCCCTGATTTGTTTCAATCCTGTTTCTGCCGGCGGTCTCCCAGGAATGGGGAGGATTAGTGAGTGGCTTTATCATAGGGTGTTTTATCTGCATGGTTCTTGACCCTATGCTTTCAGATCAGGTGCCTTGGCTTAACTACTGCGGTGCTGTCGCACTTTCGCCGTGATACTTTGCAGCTTTAAAAACGTAGAAGCCAATTCTTTTTAGCATGATGGTCAGAAAAATGAGGTTATAGCGCCTACCGGAAACTATCGTAAGTTGTACAAGATTTCACTCAGCCATCGGTCGAACTACCAAAAATTTTGGGCATGGTCGCCGTTAGAACCGACGTCAATAACCATTCCTGAACTGCATGGACTCATCCAAATGTCAGGAAAACGCAAGAAAATCCATGAAGGTAGTACGGCGCCGTCTATTCTGATCCCGCTATACTCACTACTAAGGAGTTGGCCCAACGGAACAACACCTGCCCAGCAGAACCAAACTCGATGAGTACTCCAAAGATATCACGAGGACTTACCTTAATGACGCGACATGAGACGAAGGACCGAACTTCAGTAGCGTGGATTGGTGCGCTCGATCCTCAATTCTGAACACTGCTGCAACATGGAGTGCCTCGCTTGCAGCGCTTGTCTCCGCGGCCTCACGACGCAGTCTGCGATAGTTCTGCAATGGGATGTATTGGGGCGCAGGGGCCTGCCTCGCAGCCGAAATTTGGTGATTATGCTTGTGCAACTGCAGGACCAGGCTTGCGCATGCAGCAACAGCAGCAGCAAGCGTACAACAACGACGACAAGCAGAACTAGAATAATAACCATAACAACAAGAATCAGCAGAGCAAGACTAACAACATCATCAGCAGCCGTAAAGCAATAACTGCCACGACACTCACCACAATAAACGAAATCACTACTAGTAGGAAAAGCAGCAAGTCAGTCATGATGACAGTTTCAGTAGTGGCATAATATGAAAGCTTAGAATTTGTGGCAGCTTAGCACCCAAGACCGCTTCAACAGCACCCATGATTATTCACGAGCTCGGAGATCACCGAAGTGTCTGACTTACGTCCACAAGGTTCTTGAGACAGCATAGCTAGGGTACAATTGTTGCTGCCGCTGCCTAGCTGGCTGTTGGAACCGCACTGCAGGCAACAGCAAACTGCCCTAGTCCTAGTGCAGAAGCAAAGGTCGACACAGGCTTAGAAAGGCGAGGTTTATTTCGATTCGTGCACTTCAGTCCACTAGGTCACCAGGCTCTATAGGGCCCTAGGGCGATAGGTTCGCAAACCCCGGTTTTAAGTGCAAATGCAGTGCCACCTCTGGATTTTGGCGCGGCATTGCAGGCGCATCAGGCTTGTCCATCCGACAAACCCTGTCACAGCATGTCGTTACAACGACTTTCAAATGACGTTTCGTGTGATACCCGTTTGTCTAGCCGACAATCCGGGTGCGTGGGGTTATGTACCCTGGGAATTGCTGGAACTGATCTAATTATTCGATCCCCATTGCAGGCAGGCGCTGTGGTCCCGCCGCAAAAGGCAACGATTGCAAGGATGGGGACGGCTGTGTCGTGCTTCAGGAAGCTCTAATGCTTGTACAGTTGTCATGTTGCATCAAATACTAGCCATGGCCGTTCCCCAAAAAAAGACTCTTTGCATCTCCGGGCTCTGCAGGGGCTACTGCAGCAGGAACAAGGCCCAGGAGAGACCTGCGAATCCCGACACAACCGGCGCCATTGAGGTGGTCGCTGGCAGGGAGGGAGGAACGTTGTCAAACTCACTCGGGGGCTTGCACTCGATCGTGTTCATCATCGAGCCCATGCACACGACATTGTGGGTGTCTGAATAACCGTGTCCTACGACGTTCATGTTGCCCTTGGTGCCCATAGCCATAATAATGTAAAGTGGCGTGTCTGCAGTGAGCACCAAGTCCGTGCAATCTCCGGTGTTTAGCTTGCGGTGGAACTCAACCTTCATGCGGCCACCAGAGATGTCGTATTCAACCTCGGTCAAATCCTGCTGTGAGTCGATGACGATGGTTTTTCCGGGCAGGTTGCACTGAGAGATGCTGACAGGGGTGGCGCCGTTCATCACGGTCAGATTCATGGCGCAGAACTTTTGGCCGAGACACTGGTAAGCGCCACAGCCACCGCAGCCGCCACAGCCACCACAAGCTCCACATCCGCCACAAGCTCCACAAGCGCCGCATGCTCCACAAGCACCGCAGGCTCCACAAGCTGTGCCGCAGGCTCCGCAAGCCCCGCAAGCTGTAGTGCCGCATGCCCCACAAGCGCCGCAGGCGCCACAAGCTCCACAAGCTGTGCCGCAGGCTCCGCAAGCCCCGCAAGCTGTAGTGCCGCATGCCCCACAAGCGCCGCAGGCGCCACAGGCTGTGCCGCACGCTCCGCAAGCCCCTGACAAGCGGCGTGCAGTACCACATGCGCCGCACGCACCACAAGCAGTAGTGCCGCATGCTCCACAAGCTGTAGTGCCGCATGCCCCACAAGCGCCGCAGGCACCACAGGCTGTAGTGCCGCACGCTCCGCAAGCTCCACATGCGCCACAAGCTGTGGTGCCGCAGGCTCCGCAAGCGCCGCAAGCTGTAGTGCCACATGCTCCGCAAGCCCCACAAGCTGTAGTGCCGCAGGCTCCACAAGCGCCGCAGGCGCCACAGGCTGTAGTGCCGCACGCTCCGCAAGCCCCACAAGCGCCACAAGCTGTAGTGCCGCAGGCTCCACAAGCGCCGCAAGCTGTAGTGCCACATGCTCCGCAAGCCCCACAAGCTGTAGTGCCGCAGGCTCCACAAGCGCCGCAAGCTGTAGTGCCACATGCTCCGCAAGCGCCACAAGCTGTAGTGCCGCAGGCTCCGCAAGCCCCACAAGCTGTAGTCCCACATGCTCCGCAAGCCCCACAAGCTGTGGTGCCGCAGGCTCCGCAAGCGCCGCAAGCTGTAGTGCCGCATGCTCCACAAGCCCCACAAGCGGTAGTGCCGCAGGCTCCGCAAGCACCACATGCTCCGCAGGCCCCACAATAGCAGGGGAATGCACCGCCACATGCGCCGCAGGCTCCACAGGCTCCACAAGCACCGCAGGCGCCACCGGTCGGGCAGGTGCCGTACTTGGAGCTCAACCGGCGCTTGTGCAAGCGGCGCTTGGAGAGCTGCTTCAGCGACTTCTTGGGCTTCCATCCTTTTGGGCGGCCTGTCCTCACGTCCTCGAAAATCGCATGCCTGGGGCAGCCGATGCCGTTGAGCCAACGTCCACCCGACGGCTCAAGCTTCGAGACCAACGGCTCTTCATTAAGGCGCTGAGACTTTTCGCAAGGCACTCCTCCCTTTGAGCTGCGATAGCCTGTCACTTCACCCAGAACTTTTCCACGCAGGCAAGGAGGCATGAAAGGAGGAGTCAAGACTGTGTAGTACTTGTAGTCCCCGGTGACAGGATCGATGGCACCGTGGCACTCGTCCAGCATCTCCTTCTTGACCTGGACGCCGTCCTTGAAGGGAGCCATGATGGGCGCGCCATCCAAGGCCCAGCCAATCTGCACTTCTGGGCCATGAGACGCCCACTGCTCCGGGCCTCCCGATTTCCACCAGGCACCCTTCGGGACCGGCACGCCTAGGGAGCGAAGCAGACAAAGAGGAGGGGCGTGATAGTGGTAGTGACCAAAAGTGTCGCCGTGTCCACCACAATTGTCGATCACCCACGTCATGCCCTCGCCTGGGTGCTCGTGCACGAAGAGCACCGAGTTTAATCCAATGCCCACCACACCGCCCGATTTCTTGGGGCTCTGCGCAACATGCAGCTGGGTCGGTGGAGCCGGTAGCCAGACCTTCAGCTCGCGCTCGTAGGGAAGGAACGGAGATGCAGTTGGGGAGGTCTTACGGCTTCGCAGCCGGCGGCCACCGCAGCCACCGCAAGTCGTGTTGCTGCCACAGCCGCAGCCACAGGTCGTGCCACAGCCGCAGCCACATGCCGTGCCGCAGCCACTGCCGCAGCCACAAGCCGTGCTGCCACACCCGCATGTTTGATGGCAGTCTGACAGATCCACACCCGGATGGTGACCGAAGGTGAAGACATCTGTGCCGTCCATCATGGGCTTGTCCTTGTTGAATCCCAAGCTGCACCATCTGTCGGCAGGGCAGTCAGCCGTCACGTGCAGCTCGTCGCCCTCAATTTCCAGTTCCCAAGTCGCGGTGTCACCATCCTGGCTGTGCGATAAGGTCAAACCATCGGCCAGGGGCAGACCGATCAGCACAAGGGCGCCGAGCGCACGGAGTGCCATCATGAGCTGATGCTGAAGAGTCTGTGGAACGCTGCTTGGGCCCAGGATGCTGATCCGGACACCCCCGTCGACGCTGCAATGTCGTCACTCTCTACGGCGCTCTACAGTGTGGGAACTGGGCAAGCTTGCCTGTGACCTGTCCCTCGAAACTCTCGCAAATCCTGCTGGAAGGGCACTTGTGTTTATGGTGATCTGACGTCTACCTCGCTTCTCATAGACAGAACCATCAGGGCCAGCGATGTTGAGACCCATCTCGCCTGGGAAAGAAGGGCCTGCAGACGTAGGCGCCCCGTCAACTCGCTCGTGCAGGGTTGCACCTCTCTGAGTGTGGGCATCGCCGGAGGCCAGAGCACAACAACAACTGAGGCTCGGGTCTCGAAATGTCAAATTATTTTCGTGAATAACACCCTCCCTTACGGTGCCACTAGATTCACTGGATGGACTCTCGCGTTGCGGCCGTGCTCGCAACGGAAAGATGAGACTGCAAAATGATGCAGCAGCCTAAGCGGTAATTGTGGTGTAATTGCTAAGGTTACCCATAGTCACATGGTCATCTCCCAGGAAAGTGATGGGGCATTATCGATGAAAGACGATCATATTGCAAAAATAGCTAAAGCCATATTCAACCGTGCACCTACTCACAGCCCTGGTCGGTTCCACAACTTAAAACTGTATGGGACACGGTCATGGCCTGGGAAACAGCAAATCAGATGTATGCTGTTGCTGTGAATATCAGAACATCATATTAGCGCTCGGGGTGATGTCAAGATCAGGGCTGATTCCTGTAGCGCATTGGAACATGGCCATCATCACCATCACCTTTGTCGTCACCACCATCTCGGATATCGTCTCCGTCTTCGTCTGTTTACAGTATTATCTTCATGCGGATGCCGGCCCAGTTCCATTTTGTCAGATCCCGGGCTGATGCGTTTGGAGTAGCTTAGCTCCAGCTAGGTATGTCAGCTTTGATCTGGCATTGGTTTGGCTTGTGGTCGTGACTGGCAGTAGCAGTAGCAGTCTAGCAGTAGTCGTAGCAGTCGCAGCAACAGCAGTACTAGGAGCAGTAGCATCAGCAGTAGCTGCAGCAGTACCGGTGGCAGTAGGAGTAGCAGCAGCAGCAGCAGGAGGAGTAGCAGTAGTAGCAGTACATGTTGTTGTTGTTGTGGTTGTTGCTGTTGCTTTTGTTGTTGTGGCTGCTGCCGCTTCTGCATTTTTGTTGTTCTTTCTTGCCGTAGTGTAGTACAGCTGTAGGATCAGAGGCAACATGTGGGCGCGAAAAGCACCTTGATGTCGGACGAGATAAAACCGGCATTTGGAGTATGTCTCCTACCGCAGCCACATGCGGCCGCATAGACGAAGTCCAGCACGCGCGCACAGCTGCTACCGATTGTGTCTGAATCTGATAGTAATTAGAGATAAGTTCTACAGGAGCAGAAACATAAGGATACCGAAGCAGAAGACCTTCAGAAGCGGAGGCGGAAGCAGATGAAGGAGGATGAGTGCGGTACAGTATGACTATAAAGTATGAGGCTACAGGCCCTTAGATGGCCTATGGTTTATTCAGGATATCTGAGAGTGTGCCTGCCTCAATCGAGCAGCCGATTCCTTCTCAAGGTACTTCATTCAGCGCCCAACCGAACGCTAACGGCTAACGTATGAACCAGACACCTTTGATCACTTAACCCGATCGCAGAACACCTTCCAAGAGCTGCCTGGACCCTAGAATACACAAGTCCTGGCAGACCCAAACCCAATCTCAATTGCAAAGCTACAGGTCTCAAAGCCGAGGCTTACTCTCTAAACCCCTAGCTTCCCGCGGGCCTCGGTCAAGGGATCTGGGTCGGTCGAAGATGCTTTGGGAACCTTACCACATGTAAAAAATGAGTAAAGGACCAGGACGAAACGCAGGTTGTGGCGCAGTTCGAGCTTTGAAGACCGACGGTTACCCAGGAATCACCCCGAACCCAGCCACGCAAAGCCCAAGAACCAGTCGAAACACCAAGGGCCGATATGAATGACTCTCAAAATTCCCACGCATTTTGTAAGTCCTATCCTTCGGTTCTCACCTGGGCAATCTCAGTAGGACGAAGTACAGGCTCCAAGCACAAAGCTCAAGTTCAGAGCTTGGGGCCTCAGAGTTTCGGCTCCTCGCATCCTAAGACTCGAGCCCTCGATACCAGGCCGGCTTGGTGTTTTGTTATTACTACGCTCTCAGCAGCGGTTATCAGCAACTTTTGTGGATCAGTTTTCTGACTTCATGATCCGGAACTGACGGCAAACTCGGTCGTGCCATGGAAAGTCAGTAGTGGCGTTGAGGGATCCTCTGGCTTTTTCTTGCTGTTTCTGCCGTTGCCGCTAGTGCTGCTGCGGTTCCTACCAGGCTGGCGCTGATGCGGAAAGCCGACATGCCGATTCTATCTACGCTCTCTGGTCAGGTGCCCATTATGTCTCGGCCCACAGTGTATCTCCACGTTGTTGCTGCCGTTGTTATCTTTCTTCTTAGATGCTGCTCCTCTTCTTCTCCCCCCTTGACTGAAGACCGAGTTGCTTGAATTGGGAGTTTCCGAAAATTAGGGGTACCTTATTTTGGGGTCCTTATAATAGGGATCCTATTATTTAGGGTACTATATCAGGGTCCCCTATTTTCGGAATCCCCCAATTGGGTTTCGACTTTAGGCGCGGAGCTGGCCGTCCTTGCGCCACACGCTCGCCGCCACAGTAAGGAAAGCCGGGCTGTGGCGCTCTGCGCCGCCGGACACAGCAAGGAAGACATGGAGTCGAGGCCAAGCCTCAACCTCAAATACGGCAATGGAGGTGGCACCTCATGCTGAAATGATGGCCACGGCCTAGCTGTGGCCTGGCCGTTGCTGTAAGCTTGCCGCTTTGCTTGTTCGGGTTGCCACTTGAGCCTCTGAGTTGCTTCCTAGATTTTCATGACAGCTGTCATCATGTCGAATTTCTACGAGCTGCCCAGACAAATTCGAGGCCTGCGGCGCGGAAGCATAACATCTCGGCTGATGAACAAACACTTGCCAACATCAAAGCAGAGCATCTTCTTCGAACTCCCTCAAATCTAAGCTGCGCACCCCTAGTCAACCAGACCCCCGAGAGCCTCAAGGCGCACTTCTGCCCCGCGGTCTTCATCGCATTGCACAGTACCTGACAACTTGTCGCACGGAGCCAGGGGCTGCCCATATGCGTGGGTGTTGGCATCCGGCTGCATGCAGCTTCCGTGTGTACACGCATCCAACCGCAGGCAATGAAGAGGTAATTTCCAAGAGCGTCGCGGTGCAAAGTTTGGAGCCTGCTTCTTACATGGCTTCTACGGGAAAAGACTTCTTCGGATCTCCCGATTTATGGCCACTGCTAGGGTGTGCAGAAGGATCCGGTGTTGCTGAGTCGGCAAATTCCAAGGCAGCATTGAACTCTCGGAACTTGGGCATGTCATGACAGGCCTGGAAGCCTTCCGTCTGCAGCCGGTTGCCATCCAGAAGCAGGGCCTGACCGTCGGTTGTGCCCTCAAAGCCCATCCTACTGCCCACTCGCTAGCCCGCACGAGCCGAAGGACCGGCAAGATATGGAACCCATGGGCCGGACAGGAATGGAAGTCCCTGATGCACTCAAGGAACCAGAAGGTTCCACGTCCAGGGCCTGGGGCCTCTTTATATGCCCGCAGTTCCTGAAAACCAACCTTGACTCAACCTCGGACTCCAAACACCCCAGAGAACGAAGAGCATGCTCACAGCACCTGCAGCCCGCCAGTGATGACCTTGGAGGTGGTCGCGAGAGCGTGAGCAGGGGGCCCATAATCCCTGTTGCTTCAGTCCAAGTACGGGCCATCAAGGAGATCCACGCGTCCCACATCTAGATGTGTGGGATGGTTCGGGCAGCTTCTTTCCGTCAAAACCTCACCTCTCCGCTTTGACAGCAGACACTCGTGACCCTCGGACATAAACAGCGACCATTTCAAACCCCGCCGCTCTTTCAGATAGTGCCAGCAAATTCCGGTCCCTAGAGATGTTGAGGCTACTTTCAGATTGAACTTTGCAACTTGCACTTTGCTGAACTACACCCTTCATTCCCACTGACACCCGAAGCCTGAGCTCGGAACACTGGCAATCGCAGGAGCACTCAGCCAGGTGAGCTCATTGCACCTGCGGCCGAATTGTCAACGCTGGCAAGTGAACCATAAAGGACGAGAGTATGTGACAGACTTAACAGATATGCAATAACAGGAAACAGAATTGCCAGTGCAGTGCCAATGCTCCCATGCGAAATCCGAAAGTCCTGAAGCCGAACCCCCTCGTGAACCTTACACTTTTAAACATTTTAAACCACAAAATTCCCCAGACTCCATGACCATTTGGAGTTCGAAAGCCCTCAAGGGCTACTCCCTGACGGTCCATACTGTAGCCGGTTGTCAAGACGCTATAGCCATTACATGCCATTGCTATAGCCACTTCGTGCACTGTTCTATGACCGACTTTTGTTGCGAATGCTTTCTATCATCCTTGGATACCTAACTTCTGAATCTCAACTCCTCCAGAGCTGGGCAACGGCCTCAAATCCAGGAGTCGAACAGCACTCCACTTAGCGCTTGTTCCACCTCGCAACCGCGGTCACTCTTGCATAGTTGCTCAATCTTGCCTTCGCTGGGGGAGACTATGATTTTAGCAACGTGCCCATGTATATTTTCATCAATTACGAGTTTGAAGGAACTATGGGAACACCTTGTGTTACGACCGTTGACTTGCAAACTGTTTAGTCTAGTTCAGGCAGCAGCGAACCTCCATCAGAACAACGATAATCAAGACTAGCGGCACCTATTCTTTTGCTACTACTTGTACTTCTGCTCTCAGGCAGCATGCAGGGATGGCAGACCATGTCCACAAACGCAATCGCGAATAATGATTTTAGGCTTGGGAGGGTCATCATCTTGTAATAGCTGCAAGTGAACATCTGGATTCAGGTATTTTGAGGCCAGCTCGGTGAAGTTTGGGACGGCTTAGAGATGGATGCTTCTGGAGAAATTTCCCAACCCGGGGATCTACAGGTATCAAACGTTTCGGCCGAGTACAAGTCCGTTTCATCCTAGAGCCGCTGGAGGACTTGCTCGAAGAGCCTGGGCAATAGCGAACACACGAGTGTACAGACATACATAGTGAGTGATGGCCCGACTCCGTCAAAGCTTCAGGCCCAAATCCGACAAACAAAGGCTCCCAAAACAACATTTTTTGGGAGTGCGAGCAGGCGAGGGTTTAGAGTCTCGGTAGCTTCAGAGTTCTGGGCCCATTAACCCAAGAGGGTGAGCACATTAGCTCACATGACACTGTGACACCCGCGAAATCTCAAAAGCATGGCGGAGCATGAGCATCTCGAACACGAGACGCAAGTACGCACACATCAGCACTTGCCATACCACCTGCTTCTCACCACCTTCGCATCACTCAGAATCCAGTCGAGCAAGTGACCAGGTTTGCCAAAACCACATTACAAGACCGCCCTCTATGCACAAAAGTTACCGAAGACCAAAGTTACTGGAAAGCGGTGCGTAAACCGACACAGTCCTCTCAAGAGTTCTGCTGAGGCGCTATGCCCCAGCTGAGCAAGCCAGCGGTCCTCAGTTACGGCGCCGTGTCGCTGTGCTGCGCTGATTACTGGACTTAGCTGCAGAAAGACTCGTGTGGCCGTTTTGCAAGACAGCTTTGCAGGTTTTTGTACGAGAATGAGGCCTAGCTCGGCCAGTGGTCTGCAACCCTTTGGAACACTTAGCCTTCAGCCTTGCTATATGTGAGTCGCTTGACTCGCTGCTGTGGGAACTCATATGATGCTTCAGCTGTTCCTGCTCGAAGGGCTTCGCCCGTATGCCGTATGCGAAGCCGTACAAGATCGGCGTCGAATGCCAAAAAGGGGCTTCTCTGAAATGACAAGCATTGGAACTCTCTGCTCAAGCTGTATTCCCCAAACAAACACGATTCCTGAAGCCAAAGTCCCCCGCGGTGAGGTTGCACTGCACGAGCCGAAGCCCCTGAATGTTGCGCCTTGCAGCGGGCAGCAGTTACAAACAGCCGTCCCGAATTCCAGCCGATGCAAGACCGGTCAGTCGATGCGGCTGTTGTCAGTAGTCTATGAATGCTGGTAACTAGTAAGACTGACTAGCAATTGGAATAGGGCTAATTGGGGTATATTGCCTTTGACAAGATATTTGTATTTCCTGCTCCTCATCCTCTTACGCCCGAATGCCTCCTCGTGCTCGTAACATCTCGTAACCTTCATGTCGTCGACTGACTGCGATCAGCATCTAAAGTAAGAAGCACATGAATGCCCAGGCTGCTGACCCGAAGCCCGAAATCCTAAACCGTACTATCCGCGCATGCAAAAGTGGCATCTGCCCAGAACTGGGGCCTGGCTCTCTTATAGTGGGTATCGTGATAATAGCAGCACGTTTTGGCAATGGTAGTCGTAAGAAGAGTACTGTAGTGGTAATACTTGACTGTCGTAGTCGTAGTATTTAAGAGTAGGTGGAGAGCCAATTCTTACCCAAAGAACTCAAGACTCGACGCAGGAGGTCCTCACATGTTAATCAGAGCCTAAGGGCCAGGCAGCTCTCGCAAGACCGTGCTTACCTGAACAGATGGGTAGCAGAGTCGAAACGACTGATCCAAAAACTTCCGGCTCTGTGTCGGATGGGACTCTTTGAGTTTACGGCGGCACGAAAAAGACCTTTAACAAACACCAATGCGTGCAAAACTGCACCTCTCCTGCGAAACCCAACACGAAAGAGCCCCATCCCGGATCGATTCCTTGCAGAGACGGCACCTCCAGCTCGACATGGTGCTGTCTGTCGAAGATGAGGCCAAAGTTTTCCTGAAAGTTTCGAGTGTCCACAGCCCACGGAGCTCCGTCTAAACACATCAGCTGCTGGTTGAGACTTACCGTAAAAAACGGAACACAACCACCCAAAATCGAGGCCTTAAGCTCTGTGAGTCATATCCGATTTTCACTGTTGAAAGGCAGCCGTGCAGCCCTTCCGGCTGCGATGATCTCAACGTCTTCTGAACTTCTGAATGCATTAGCTGTTGTCGATCCGAGCCCCTTTGCATTATTTAGCGGAATTCGCAGGGAATTCCGGGCGGCAATTCTGGAGCCTTCGTCTTTCAACAAATACCCGAAGCATTTGTGCCTCGCAAACGAACCTGAGATCAGCGCTTCTCTCGTCGCAGATCGACAATCCAGCGGCTTCCAATCTTGTAATTTTAGGTACCATAAGCCCGAATAAAATTGCTAAGGCTCCTATAGACTACATGCTTGTCAGGATCGAAAACATCGGCCTCCCGGCAGACGCGTTGCGCCGGGGCTGGAGGCCTCCGGTGAAGCTTGCCAAACATGTAATTCAGGGCCTTAAAGATTAAATGAGGCTTTCATTTACGGGTTGTACAACAAGGACGACTCTACAGAATATAATATAGGGGTCTTAGGAGTTCGAATCGGGTTTTAGGGTCCAAGATGGTCCAAGTATGCAGGAAATTCATTCCGACCCCGATAATGATTGAGACAAGCTCTAGGGGTGTTGAGTTGTTGATGGGCTTACTCCACAGCAAGGAACAAACGCCTGTAATCCAGAGTCCAGAGGTAGAAGCTGCAAGGGAAGCAAAGAAAGTGGACAGGTGTGCAAAAACAAGGGCTACTTCCAATAGCCAACTGCGAACTCTGGATCTGGGCCCCCATCCATGCATCTCCAGCTGGATGGCTGAAGACGGTTTAGCCCCTCCCTCCCTCCCTTCCTCCCTCCCTCTCTCCTTCTGTTCCAAAGCACTTGATAGGCGTTGAGACGTGTCAATTCCTCAAAGCCTACCGCTGCTCCCTGGAGTCGAGTCCGAGTTCCGCAGAAGCATCCTGGCACCCTGAAGGTGCACGGCTTGCAGCAACTCGGACCCATGCGTTCCCGCAATAAGCTCGAACTTCATCCCCTAACAAGCTGTGGTGGTTCTCTCCCCCTACCCGCCTGCCAGCTCTGCTGCTGCGACCACCACCTGCCAGCAAAGTAATGCTACCTTCGTCATGTCTAGGTCCACAGGCTTTAGCAATAGTGTGCCATGTCATGGCCTGGACTGTCGGAGCGTCCTGCTGCCTTTGCGCTTGGGGAGGCTGCCTGGCATCAGCGTCTCTAGAGCAAAATGCTAGAGCGTCGGCAGGGCGTCGGCGAATCTAGACGCTTTGCGTCGTGGTGCTCTCGTATACCGTGAGAACAACCGGTTCAACTGGCTCGCTTGTAATGCAAGTCAACTCTTGCAACAGATGCTTCCGGAGCTTGTACGTAGCTGCCACTAGTAACTAGTACTGTAGCTGTCAGTCAGCTTGCTGGAAGCCTGCAAGGCAGCATTGGGGATACTCGCAATCATCCTCCGTGATGGTGTCGAGGCCGCCCCCTGTCCCGGTAAGTCGCACAGCAGGATGTAGCCAGCGCTGGAAGCTACTAGCCGTCTTGGATAGGGAAGTCATAGATCGGCCAGGCATGAGGCGTGAGTCATCTGGCAAACCCTCTCTCACGTCCTCACCACCTTGATACCTTGGACATACTGCATGAAGCATGCACGGTATAAGGTTTGATGGTTGTTGTATTTCTGCATATCAAAGTTCGTTTTGGTACAGTGCCGTCCGCAATCTGTTTAGCATCGAGCCATGGACCTGACCTGTTGCCCCCCTGCAAAGAGAAAGAAGTGTCGCTGACGGGACCATCTACCGTACTCAGAGGAATACAAAATTAGGAATTGTGAAGTCCTGCGTGGAGTCATTGCGATGAACCCTGGCACTGACGGGTGCGGCCCCTGGTTTTGAAACATCGCATTGCATTTCAGAGGAGTCAAAGCTGTCCTCACAACGACAAAACCGGCTCGCAGCTCCACTTCTGGGAGCTGCTCTGCTTACCAAACGCAACGGCACTTTGTGGCACAACACATGGGAGCTCTGATGCCCTCATAGCTTACTAGCCACTGGGTGCACAAACGGCAATTTCTTGCTCACCCGAAAACAACCGATCATCGCGGTACTTCTCCGGCAACATCGGAGGAACGTCCAGCAATCTCGTGCTCTGGGATGTGAATGCGTAGGTATTGTGGGAGCAAGCGCTCCATTCATGTTGCAAATGCAAATCGCAATGCTTATCAACTGGAGCTTTGGCCAAATACCCACGACGCCTGCCAGTTTGAGTCCCGTGAGAGGCAGTTGCAGCCGTCTTCTGCATGGCGGAACAAGAAGGAAGACTCGATTCCAACAATGGGACATGTTCGTCAGAAGCTCAGCAATTCCTTTGTGCTCTTTTTCAGAGTTTAGGTGACGGCTGTACCTCTGCGCAGGGACTCTCAGGCGTGCCCTCTGGCCTGTCCTTTCGGACTTGCTTCAGACGTAGCCTGCTTTCGAAATGCCTGGCTCGACAGTGCAAGATACGGCTCTTTACAGCATCGGCTCCAGTCCACTGCCACGATGCCACCCCAATCTTTACAAGGGTCGCGGGCAGTGAGCCGTTCTAGCAGATGCAGTAGCGTCAAAGGTTCCAAGATGAATTTGAAACAAGTCGTGCAATGTTGTGCAAAGCACCGCATAGTCCTTTCCAACTTCTTAACACATTTTGACAAGGTGATAGCTTTCAGCACTTCAGAGCTTTTAATGGGGACCTTCAGCGGTAAGGTCGGCAATGCTCTGCCGACAAGTCCATGTCGCATTTTGGAAAGCTGCATGCGTCCGCTCAAGGGGTGTCGGATTAAACCGCGTCTGCGGCCGCAAAGCCGGCTGGACTGGATGTGCCCCTTTCTCTGCTCATCTTATGCAACTTGGGCCAGAGAGGAAATTAAGGCCCCTAGCACGACAAGTAAGCTGGCTGCGTGCTGGTGAGCAGAATTCAACTGCCCCAAGAAACTGGTGGATGGCCCGTGCTTCGTGACGCCCACCTCAGTTCCAACGGAGTTCGTGTTAACGTCCTAGTCGTAGTCTGTCAGCAGCCCACACTCTTAATAGACTATCTTCGTGTTTTGTGCTCCGTTTTGAAGCCTAAGTGGGCTGGTGGCTGCAAAAGCACCTGCAGTAGTGTCTGGGTCCACAGAAGGCGAACAAAGCTCCACTTGAATTCAGCCTTCACATCGGGCAAGTGCCGTGTCAAGGCGCTTCACTGCTCGGACCCCCATTAAACCAGGATCCACTACAAAGCGTTCTTGCTTGACATACTGACGGATTGTAACCTGTGCAACCGGTGCGTCCACCATCAGGAAGCACAATACCCGGACCTATGCCACAACCCTACGAACAAGACATGCGTGTGGTGTGGCATGAAATCAGCCATGCCCAGCGACGGAGGCTCGAGCTTCCGGCTCTGCGCGCGTGACAAACTCTGGGCAGGCTGACGTGGCAAAGCCTATCCTCAGGAGATTGGCAAGTGTGCATGGGCGTTTGCCAGGCATCATAAGCTGGTGCATGCAGCGGCTTCCAAATCTCGGATGATCCCTGGACTACCAACGACAAATTCCCAAGCTGCTGCAAGCCCCTTGTACGCCAGGGATCCTCTTGGCATCCTGGTCGAAAACTATCGCATGATTCCTGCAGAATCAGCTGCTGGGCAACGGCTGCCGAGTTTCGGCACTCGCACTGCGACTTTCCGTTATGGTCTGCAATACATGCAGTTCTAAAGCAAGCACGACCGGACTCTTTGCGAGGCACAGGCAAGAATCATCCACTCCAAAGATGATGACATGCCACAAGGAGACAACACCGGTCCTCATGAAGGATGCACCCAAAGTAAGCGGGGGCATGCCGAAGAAGGAGTAGCACCACCTTGGCTCTTGGATTCAAGGAGTTGGGAGCATGTGAATGAGCGCGTCCCAGCTGTGTGGTACATGGTACAACCGTTCAACCTCTGCGACCAGGAGCGAAGCTCCGCAGGAATGGTTACGCCCGCCAAGACCCGCAGTTAAGACAAGCCTCCAGTTGCCCGATCGGCGGTAGAGATACCCACGAGCTGGCCAGGTGTAGTTGGCCTCGTGCGACAATGCGTGCAGTATCTCAGGGGGCTATAACAGTAACATCTTACAGCAAGGTTTAGAGAGGCTTTAGGGGCTTTATGTCAGTGTCTCCTCAAGCTTTTTTCTCTCGCTTGCTTGCAAGGCGTCTGGGGTGGGGGATGCAGGCTCCCCTGTTCCCCTTCCCCTTCTCTGCTTGGATCGAGCTGCCGTCCTGAGGGGCTTTTTGCATCCAGCCTGCGGCGCCTCCTGCTGGGAAAGGTAGGGGGAGCATGCTTCACACCACTCCCTTGTTTGCAGCATGCTCGGCACATCCTGAGGGGCTGCTACTGGAAACCTTCTGAATGAACCGGGAGATCAATAAGCTGGAAACCTTGGCTGCCTTCATTCCCAGGCAAGTGGCACTTCCGAAACTCAAGTGAAGGTCCGGGAACTTGTCCAAGTCGTCGTCACTGGCCTGAAGCATGGGATTCGGACAGCTTGTAGTCGGAAATTCGATGGCAGCGATTGGGCAGTGTGCTGACGGGACCACATGGCAAGATGTATCTAGAAAGGATAGATGTATGCGCTGGTTCCACTACTTTGACCTTACTGTTGCAATATCAACTACTTCAGCCAGAAATCAACTCTTCGTGGAGGTGACGGCCATCGTGCCCTGTTCAACCAAGCACTGAAGATCCTCAAAAACCGAATCTGCCCCTGTTTGGCAACTCGCTCGCTAAAGGCCTCGTAGCACGACCGCGTCGGCATCTTCGCGCTGCCGCAGGCCCCGGCTTTGCAGAAGTCACGGATCTGGTTCTCGAGGGCCAGGGCCTGTCATGGTGGGTCTCTGAGGTTGTGTGCGCAGTTTCACGGTTGGTTTTGTTCTTTTTCTCGTATGCACGCAACGCAAATAGACAAAGCCTGCTCTCTGTGTCCCTTCTCATCCCTACCTCTGTCTTTCTGCCTCACATCCTCTCCCCTAGCTGGGTACGAGTCGGTACGAGCATAAGAGGGAGAGTGTGTTTGCATGTTGCTTGTTTTCTTCGTTTGGTCTCCGGCCAGTCTTCGAAATGTAGGGCCCCGTGTAGCAGTTGCAGCCCCGAAGCCGACTTGTCACAACCGGGCCCACATGAGTTGCACCTAGGAAATGCCCGGCTCACGACCATGCCAGTCCACCTCTTGTATGGATAGGCAGACGGACCACATGAAATTGGAGTAGACTGGGTAGGATTTTTTGGCTCCCGCGTGGCAGCTCCGGGTCAAGATAATGTATGGCAAGATCAAACAGATAGGTGGGTAAGTAGGTAGGTGGAGATAAATAAACAAACGGAAGGAGAGCTAGAATGAGCTAGATAAGCCGACATGTATCCACACATACGTGCCTGTGTGGAGGTAAAGGTACGTGTAACCCGAAAGCACGAAGCATGCCCCACGTCGATCCTTGAGGCCTTACTTCCAATCCAAGTTTGATCTGTTTTGGTGCAGCTTGTCTCGTTGAGCAAGCATTTTGGAAATCGCTCTTCAGTCCCTTCAGGTCTGCAGCCAGGCTTTCACATGCACGCCGCGCCCGTGCTCCAAAACAACCAGACACCCCGCCTGCCGAGATGTAAAATAGGTGTACCTTGCAATTGTCGTATCTGTCTAACACTGGTGAGTTGCCAAACGGATGAGACTGCAGGAACTTGGAGCAAACATTGGCATGAAGTGCACCAAGTGAAACACGTAGTGGAATCCAAGGTGCGTAGTCCCGGAGTCCACCAAGAAGCTCCCCAAGGGCTCCTTGATCGTGAGTATAAGTAAGTGCAACGTGTAAAAGGAACAAACGGAACACTTCTTCAAAGCGAGTCGGCAAAATGACGTCTTGAGTCCTGAGGTTTCGAGTCACTCACAGCTTGGCGGACCGGGGGCGGAAGTAGGATCGGTACACAAGCAGCCAACTCAAGCTGTGACGCTGACATCCACATGTCGCTCTCTCGACGCATCGTGACAGCTCAGAAAGATCAAAGAAGTTTCGATCATCCAGCAATGAATTTCTGCAAGCATCGTTGAAAATGTTATGTCCCGCCATGGTGACCGAATCCATGTCGACATAGTAGGCCTGGCTTCGGGAAGCATCTCCTACGAGAGACCTCAGGTGGCTTGGACTTCACAGCATAGAACTGACTAGACTGTAAGGGATCGTGAATGGAGTGGTTTGGTAAGTGACCGAGCAGGCGTCGAGAACTTGATTCAACTCTTGCAGAAAGCTTTGACCTGCCTTGGCTTCAGAAGCATCCTAGCCCAGTATGCCCCAGTCAAACTCTATGTCCACCTTCCCCGCAAGCTGAACTCTTTCGTCCGACTGCAGGCCAGGGACTGACACGCTGCGCAATGCAATTGCAAAGCATCGGCTTTTTGGAGTTGTGGATTAAGTGGATTGCAGGACGCTACTGTACTGGGGTCCTGAACGCATAAGCCGCTCTGGTAGCATGGAATCCAAACGCCGACCGGCCCTGGGCCCTTAGCGTGGCACTTCCTGCTCTGACGTTGCCGCCGTGAAGACTTCTCGGGATGTGTTATGACAATATGGTTCGCCACATCTTAACTCAACCCTCCCTCATGACTACGAGTCGCCTTGGTGTAGGGCACCCATTGCCAGGGGCCTGTGGTTGGCATCCACGTGCTGTTCCTGAGCGATGCCGGACTAGTCTGTCGAGCTCCCCACTGCAACGACAGTCCTTCACCTCATTTGCAAGGTCCAAGCTTCACTTCGCCCATGGAAAAGGAGCCTCCATGCTCTGCAAGGCATAAGGCAAACAGCTTCTTGTGCACGTGACCGTCCTGGAGCAGAAAAGGGATGAGCGGACCCAGCTTTGGTAAACGTTTGACAGATTTTCGAGTCGAGCTTTGAAGCCGACGGACATTGTCCCATCATGCAAATCTGAATCTGAAATCTGAACGTACCCGACACCTACCCCCGTACCTTCCAGTTCTACAGGTGTTGCTCCTTTTGTGGAGATGCTGCCGAAGCACGAGCTACATGCACTCTAGTGGCATCCAAGTGGCTGCGAGCTGCGATAGTACGTTCCAATCACCGTCTCTGAGGCCCATGATGCCAGACGGCACCTTCATTGGCTTGGTCACGGGCCTACATCTCTCGACCCACACTCAAGAGCTTTGCTGGGTCTGTGGATCTGATGCTCAAGTCTTCGTTGTGTGCAAGCTGATTGTCTTGCTAAGCATGGCCGGTTGCAGGGGAATGCCATGTGCAAGGGTGCACGTAATAATACAACTTATCGCGTAGCAAGAAATTGTTCAGCTGACAGATCGATGCAACAACGACGGCGACGACTCTAATGCTGACCTCATGAGGCTCCACCTCCATCTCCTCGTGCTACTTCTACTGCTGCAGCTGCTGCTAAAGCTGCTTCTGTTCTGTTGCTCCCCTCCTCCTTGTCGTCGTCTTATCTCCTCCTCCTCCCCCTCCTCCTACCTCCGCCTCCCCTCCTCCTACTCCCACTGCCACGGCATGCCACTGCTGCGCCACAATGACATGAACGACAGGAATGCATCATTAATGGCGGCAGTGGCTGGTCATGCTGTCAACAGCATGAATAGAGACACATCAACTCTACCGATTTGCATCAGCCACACATCGAGTATGCTTCCCGACTTCCAGCACCCACATGTACGGACTGACAGCGGTTGACAGCAGCAGATCATGTTCTTGTCTATCAGCGGCAGGAATGCCTGACGAACCTGGTCACCCGTGCAACTCCAGAACACTAACGCTGCTGTACCGAAGCCATACTTCAACCTGACCTTCTGGCTAATCAGCTTTGCGATGGTTTGCGAATCGTTCATTCAGGACGCAACTAATCACATATACCGATATACCACATCAGAACAACAAAGCTTGTCCAAAGCGACACTTTTGTTTTACCTTCTGTCTGGCTTTGCGAATCATCAATCCCGGATGCGCCTGCGTCTTGAAGAGGCCAGTTTCCCTTGTGTGGCACCCCATGCGGACCACACTCTTGTCATTTTCCTTCGATGATGTGGGGCTCATCTTTCTTAAACGGCCGCACGCTGATTTAGGTAGGGCAGGTTGGGTTTCGCACCCATCATGCCCTGAAACACATGCTTTTCAACATCGCCGCCCAAAGACGAACTGCCACCTAGCTTTCCCAAGCCTCAAGCCGGAAGGTATCTGACCTCAAACCCCTTGGACGGCGATACAGTCAGCCAGTTACATGCCGCGAAAGTGCTCTCTCCGAGACGCCGAGGTGAAGAACGTCTTTGAAATACTTGCCTTCGATGCTGGAGCCTTCGACATACTTGGCGGTATAGCTGCAGCTGTTGTTGAGGCACGAAGAACAGCCACTTTCCGCGCATCCAACCCATCGAAACGTGCTTGAGGCACTCGGACTGAAGGGTGGGTCCATATGTGAGCCACAGTTTTCGCAATCACTGCACGGAAACGCTGTCCGTGATGAGCCAGTGTCGACGATGACTGATAATAGCTGGCCAGGTGTCCCGACCTGGGCTGTGTGGACTAGTGTGTGGAGGAGTACGTAACTATCGATGATGCAGGCATCCTACCAAAAAGCCATAAAACAAGGATCAGTGCCGACGACCAGAAATCGGATGGGGCTTCGATCCTTTTCGGTGAAACTTGTTATGCAAAAGGCTCCCCTGCTGCCACGGAGCCTCGATGTCGGCATGATATGCCATGAGTTCACTCGTGTCTCCATAGAGGCGCGCCTCATCTGTGCTTAGACGCCGCTGCTGACCTGCTCCGATGCCCGGCCTTCTAGCAAGCGGAAGATGAACTGGCTTGCCATCACAGCCGGCCAGTAGAAGCAGAATCGCTACTTGGTAGCCCCATGGAAACCTCCATTGCTGTGGGCTGCCAGGTGCGCAGCAAATCTTTACATCCGCATTTTGCAGAGGTCTCATGCCTCCACGATGGAGCTATGCTCACGAGAAATCGATCCGGCAGGAATCTAAGCAAAGGTCCAGCCCTTTCGGGCGGAACCGAACGAATTCAAATCCTGACAGGAACGAGCTGGAAAGCCAAAGGCAACAAGGAGGCGTCAATCTCATGTGCAAAGCAGCTAACACAATTAGTATAAGATAATCTTGTGAAAGTCTCCTTTCAGAGCTGGTTTCGGAGGTTCCGGGAAGGAACAGGGGCTTTCGCGGCCACAGCTGCAAACCATTGGAGTTGCGAACCTCGACAATCCAGGTTCCAGCCACCTCCTAAAAAAGCGTGCCTCCGGAGCTAGGTCGTAATCGCTCGTGCCTGCTTACTATACCTGTAAGTAGTGGCTGCCAGCACAACCAACCGAAATAAAACATGACTACCAACGTTAGTGTAGGGGCCTTAATAATTAGAATAGGGTTTCTGGGGTTCCTTATTATATTTAAAGTATAGTATATCCCCAAACCCTTTGATTACCACTGCACAAAAGAAAGGGCACAATCTGCAGACCTGGAGCACTTGCTCCCTGGCACATCAAGTCGCGCCTCTGCCCGCCTAGCCTCTGGTTCTTGCGTGCCTGGGAGCGCCAAACCATAAAGACGGAGCGCTGAAGTGGAGTGCGGATCATCGGCAAGGAAATTTGCTGTTCTTCTGCCCAGCAGCGAAACGGTGTGCTGGACGAAGACGCAGAGGGGCTTTTCGTCGTCCCCTACCGGAAACAACAACTGCCCTCTCTGCAGCAATGTCGAAGATGGAGATTTTTAGGGCTTATGCCAAGGAGACTCAAGATGACGGAAGCCTGAAGGGTTTGTTCTAATGATCCCTGATACTACGGCACTCTGCCTCAGAAAGCCGCGCGGCCGAGCGCGCCCTGACTGCCAGGGACTTGACCTGGCTCTCGAGATCCGGACTCAAAAAGGGTGCAGGAGGAGGAGGAGGAAGGAGTGGTCAAAAGCCACGGGACTTTCAGGTTCAGTGGGGAGTGTCGGCTCTAGGAGTTCGGACCTTAGTGGAGTTTACACTGTCGGCAATTGCGGGTGTCAAAATGCCGGCTCCGGGTCGGCTGGTTAGTAGCTAGTTGCCATATCACATCCGATCGACGTCTTGAAAGCACCATTGCATTCAGAGGCTGCCATAATTACACATCGAGCAGAGACAGCTCGAAATGTGGTGGAACTTACATAAATGTTCTTGCTGTTTAGGTGTACTTCATGGCCCGATCGCTTGCATACACTTGCCCTGTAAACCTGTGTATTCCGATGACGAAGCGCATATCAAGCTGAAACTCGCTTTCCCTATTATCTTTTCCCAAGCCGTGCAACGCAATATGCAACTGATTAATTGTAAGTCCTCAGCCCCTAGAAAAGCTTTGGTCCAGGCCGATGACGTCCGTTCACCCCTGCCGACCTCTCACGGACTGAATTTTTCAAACACTCGGCAGGCTATTGCCAAACCTAGCTTGAGTCTTCTAGCTTCCGGCCAGGGACTTTAGGGTTCCACCACCTGTTTGCGAAACCATGTGTAGATGTACAGATGATGTGCACACACATGCTGTTTTGTGCGTTTTGGGCTGTTGCTCTTGATTTTTTCCAACCCTCTCCGACGCCCGCACTCGGCAAGTCAGGGCACTAGCAAAATCCTCGAAACCCAGCTCTGTTGCTCTTGATGTTGACGTTTTTGTTGTCTCTGTCTGTTGCTCCTGCGTCTGCTGCAGCTTACTATTGGCGAGAGGGCGCGAGAGCGAGAGAGAGAGAGAGAGAGAGAGAGAATGCCAGGGTGCTAGAGCTCCAATGAAAGAGAAAGAGACCCAAGCACCAAAGGCCGGCTGCATTCTCGAAGAATGTTGCACAGCTTTCAGCTTCATCTTTAAAGGGCAGCGCCTTCGCAGGGACCTCTCTGCGCGCACTCCGGGCCTAGGCTTGTGTGCATGCATCAACCTAGTGTTTGCAGCATCACCGCCTTCTACTAGTGATACTGGCATGTTGTAACCACACTTCCTCCACGTCGTGGGGCTTTCGGAAATTTTGCAGCCGTTTGCTTCCACCAATGTTGCTAAACTGCGGAGACCCAGACGTGCCGTTGCGTTCTCCTAGCTGCGGGCAGGTCTTAAGTTGGACGGCTGTAGCATCAGGTTGGAATTTTGCAGGCCTGAATTTCATTATAAAGTACACGGCATCCGGTTTTTGATCGTCCACCTTTGGGCTCTAGAACTCCTACACCCTGAAGCCCTAGGAGCTGCAGCAAAGGTGCGATGGAGATCATCTCCTCGGAGGGTTGATTTCCGCGTCTGATCGGGCTTGCGAAAGTAAATTACGTTAAATTATGATCAGGCCGAGCATGACCGGTGCACTGCCCAAATCTGTAAACACAACGAACACAACTCTGGTACTACTCATGTTCGCAGCTGCTGCTGCTGCTGGTGGTGGTGGTGGTGGTGGTGTTGTTGGTCTGGAAAACTAGAACTGCTGATGCAGGGAAGTACTTGGTCAAACGGCAGAGCAAGTTCAGCCACTACTCTTGTCAATATCATCAATACTTATGCGCATCGCTTTCATCCTACAGCACCTGTATAAGCCGAGAACCTTTCCACTGTGACCTGCTAGCCCCTTAAAACCCTCAACCCGAGATCATGCGCAAAGGATCAGGTGACTCAGGATCGGGAGGATCGACAGCACGCGGCGCCTAGCAGTGGCTTTTGGCTTTTACTCTTTGTGGCTTGGTCCTGGGCAAAAGAGGTCTCAAGCCTCCTAAACCCTGAAGTCGACACCCTCTTTTTTTGAACGCAGGCTCTGATTATCAGCTGGGAAGTCGGCCACACACGTGATCCGCACCCCAAACCCTAAACCCTTTAAGCTAAACCTGCTCGCCTCCAACGTGAGCATCTGGTATACCTGTAGTCTCCTTTGGCGTTCCTTTTTTTGGTTTTGGGGTATTGACCAAGAGTTTTTGGTTAAACCAAATTTAGGTTTTAGGGTTTGTGGATCTTGAGGCTTTTCTCGAAGTTCGGGTTTGTTTGTTGGGGTCTACATGCACATGCAACCTCGCCCGGCCTCGCCTTCCGAATCAAGGTAACCGAAACATGTGCTGTCGTCTGAAGTGTCAACTGAAGATATCTGAAGAGAGCTCGAAGGCATTAAGTGAAGCACCGAAGCTTAAGACATGCATCACGATGTTCTTTTCTCGGGCTGCGGCGGGTCCTAGCCCCAGCACTGCTTCAGCTCTATTTGATAGAGCTGCAATCTTCGCAGAGAGGAAGTGCTGGAATGAAGCTCCCTGATAGGACGGCTTATCCGACCCACAAAGTCTTCGTCGTTCGCCGTCCGTAAAGAGCAGGGTTATGTGCCCACCCTTTGCCCAAATCAATTTCAGCACGAAGGTTCATCTGAACGTGCTTGAAGCAGTGCAGCTTCGGAGTAAATCGGTACAGGAGCAATTGCTGTCCATAGGCCCATGTCGCCAGCTTATAATAGGTCGACAGAAAAGTGACCAAGGATGCTTCAGCTTGCACGGCGAGGTCTCCATTCAGCCACTGTCGACTCGGAGCTGTGTAGCCTCACAAAACCCGCAGCAAACAACACACTACACATATTCGAACGGATTTGAACAAGACCCTAATCCGAAATTACCGGGCTAGTCCTGTCTACAGGCATATACTTTACATAGTGATTAACCATTGACTGCATCGCAATTGCCAAGCAGCAGAGATGATAAAACTGGTTGATGGCAGCGATCGCATCCAGCATCAAGCCCAGTGTACCACAGCTGTCATTCCAAGGCGGTCCCGACAAATAGTCTTCCAGCCACCTCAAGATTAAGTAGGAGTCTGAAGCCTTGAAGGTGCAGTCGGGATAGCGGGGCCCTTTGAAGTGAAAGTTCTCGCGAGTCCACTGCTTCGCGAAGGGGGTGCTTCCATGCAGACTGCAGTACTCTTTGAAAGCCCTGTATGCAATCTCAAGCTTCGCATCCAGGCTTCGGGCACCAGGAGCAATGAAATGCTCGAAGACTGTAGCGAGTGCGATGATGCACCCCAAGTAAAGATCGCGACAAATACCCAGGTGACCCATGTGGAAGATGTCCGGGCGGCTTGCTACAGGCCTGCCCAAGCCAAAGATTTTTGTGATCTCTGCAGGCGAGTCTGCATTCCAGGGTAGTTCAGTGCCGACAGTGTTCAGCCAAGAGGGGTTCCTTGACACATCTCCAGCCTGGTCTTTAGTACACATGCACCACGGGCAGATCTCGTTGCATGTGAAGTGGCGACGTAGACCAAAAAGATGTCCTTGGAACGGCATGTCCCCCACCACTCCAACGAAGACGAACCGTAGGGTAACATCTCCATTGGGACCAGACCAGACAATACCTATAGGGGGCTGATTGAGGAAAATATAGGGTCTAACCCTAAACCCTAAACCCTAAACCCTATAAACCCTAAACCCTAAACCCTAAACCCATCTATATATATATAAAATGGGTTATACATATTGTACATATATATTCTATACAAAAAAGAAAGATAGTTCGCCCCTTCAAGCTTATCGAACAGAGAACAACATAAACAGAGAGAGAGAGCGAGAGAGAGAGAGAGAGAGCGAAGAGAGAGAAGAGAGAGAGAGAGGCTACATAGTGGTGAGGTCTCGACCAAGCTTCCGTCGGCGTAAGCCCTCTGTGCTTCCTCTGCAAAAGCTCGCACCAGAGGGTCCAAGCAGCGATTTCCACCAGCCATGCCAGAGTGAAAGGCAGAGTAAGTTGTGTGGCTAGCACAGGTGTACAACAGTGTGCGATGATACGAATCGGTCGCAGCGAAAAGCACCGGCTTCCAACACAGCAACCACACCGGTTGCTTCCTTTTCCCGGTCCCTTCATCCCCATAAACCAAAAGCGGTATGCAATGATTTCTTTGACGTCGGGACACATCTGCAAAGATGGGGTGGGTCGGATCATGCCACTCAAATCGCTGCCAGTACTGCTGTAGAACTCTTTTCCAGTTGCCAGAAGGGTCCTCCAAAGAATGGCCGCCCAGCAAGAAAGATGAATGATTGTTTACCATATATGTAAGCATATCCAGCAAGCTCTGCACAGGGTGCTCGACGAGTCCCTCATGGGCATAAACAGTCGGAACCCAGCGGATCGGCACCGACACTGAGTACCCAAGACGGTTCATGGACCGTATCACATCTCTCATGCTGTTATTGCTTGCAGCCCCAGAGCCACCAATCATGCGAAGCTCATCTCCTTCTTTATCATTTCCGCAGGCAGAGGATATCGTTCGCTTGCCAGCTCCACGAGCGATCTTTGCTGCCTTCGAGGCGTTGCCAGCCTCCAGTGATTTCCAAGTTTTTTCATGAGTCGCACTACTAGACCAACGTGACTCGACAGTCATCTCATATTCAGACGAGTGGCAAGAAGGGTTGAGGTTACGGTCTCCAGCAGTTCAGATCTGCCTGGCATTGCAAATGGTCGTGAAGTTAACAGTGAATGTTGGAGCTGGGCTTGCACGACTTGCTGGGCAACACAGACACACGGTTGACTCCGATTTCTCTTTTGCAGGTGCGGTCGCTTCAGTCGCTTCAAGAACCTGCCACGGCCTGAGACACAACTGCTCTCTGTCAACAGCTGAGCCGACTTTGAAAGTCTTGCCTCTATAGCTCCAGTGAAACTATTGGGTGTGTTCTCGAAGTGTGTACATGCAAGTGTATATGCACGAGTGAGCTTAAGCAAGAAGAGGAATCCCAAGCACAACTAACCTTCCCAAGGTTTGTTTTTTCTTACACCGGCCTTGCGTAGAATCCAGGCCCTGTTTATTTATAAGACAGATAAACCCTATAAACTCAGAAACCCTAAACCCTCTATATAGACCCTATATAAGCTCTATAAACCCTTTAGACCCCCAAAGCCGAGCGAAAGTATAAACCTTGCAAGCACTGCATGGTTACTGAGTTGTAGTGGTGCATCTTTTACCCTAAACCCTAAACCCTAAACCCCTAAACCCTAATAGAAGGACACTTTCTATCCCACACCCTAGCCGACAGAGCACATGTGTCAACGAACGATCGGCATCACGATGCATCCAATTATTTGGATAATGCACCAAAACATGCTGCTCATCGGCTTAGCCAGCAGCCGCAGAATCAGATAAGATCAGCCCTCCTCCTGGCCCTTCTCCTTCTTGGGCCGAACAACCTTCTTGAAGTGGGTCCTCAGGTGCATGCGAGCACATTGCTGGCGATCAGGCAGCCCCGCATGCGTGAGTTCATATATATAAACCGTGTTTCTTCAGCACATTGAACTTGTTGTCGAAGTCAACACAGTTGCTCTCCATCTCGTTGGCGAGGGCCGTGTAGGCTTCGGGCCTCGGGTGCAATCATAGGGTTTACGGCTTGTCGGGTTTAGGGGTTTAGGGGTTTCTAGGGTTTATAGGGGTTCAGAGTTTATAGGGTTTACGTAAGGGTTTATAGGGTTGAGGGAACCCTATATTGTTATAACTCTAAAAAACATAAACCTTCAAATCCCCTCCATAGAAACCACAAGCACGAAACCTACAGAAAACCCTGTACATTTTATCTCCGAGCCTAGAAGCCCTGCCTAGGAGATGTTCACCTCGCAGCATATACAACATATAAGACCGGCTAAGGGTTTGTCGAGGGCTCAAGATAAAGGATTTGTGTGGTTGTCTTCGGGGCTTCAGGAAGGGCCCCCAGTTCTATATGGACACGTCATTAAAGGTCCTCAACTTAAGGGGTTGAGCGGTAGTTGCTAGTATATATATCTAGGATTATATAGGTATGCAAAAATATCTGAGGTTCTTCCTAAGTCATTCAATATACATAAATAATGGGGCAGGATATGTACAGAGATATACAGGACTTATCCTATGTAGTCGTAACTGGCATGGCAAGGTTTTCATACCCAGGCCTCGCTTGGCTCCGAAGAGTTTAAAACGAGCCACCCTTCCGAATCGCCTGCAACAAAATCCAACATGGTAAACCTCAGCTTTGTAGGTATTCTGATACACTCGGCCGGTTAATCGGCGTATGCAGTCAAGGCCTTCATTCATTATAGAATTGTACACATACCTATAGTCTCCGTTGTAGTTCCTTTTTGGGGTTACCTTATATAGGATCCTTAATATGATTTTGCCTAAACCAAAAAAAGGAACTATACAATGGAGACTATAGGTATAATGGAAAATGCTCTTATATGTAAGGTTGCTGAGGGGTTACAGGGGTTGCTTTCTGCTACCCAAAGAGTGCAGGCCTGGAACCCCGTCCCCAAAGCACTCCCAGCACCTGAAACCTGCAAGCAATCTGAATTTAGATATTTTGTGAGTCGGGGCTCTTCTTCTTGTTCTCGCCCATCTCTGCCTTGCAGATGGAGTCGTAGATGCGGACGATTTGGCCTGCAGATGGCTGTCGAGGCTCCAGGAACGGTTCGGGGGAGTAGATTGTTTATACCAGGGCTTATATAGGGTTTACCCGGGTGTTTATATGTCAAATATAAATTTATGAACTGTTTAAGGGTTATAATATAGGGCTTACAAAGTTTCTAGGTAATGGGACACACTAAATTCCCCCGAGTAACCCGTTCAGCCTTCGTAACCTCTAAATCTTAAATGTACGAAATATAATTCTTTAAAGCCCCATAATAAATATATAACCGCAAGCAGGGAACGAGAGGGAGAACAAACATGTGTGTGCGTGTGTAGCTGGTGTTGCTATACACACATGTATATGTATATGTGTGTGTATTCGTGTATATACGTGTGTAGATGTGTTCGTGGCCCATAGACATGTTGACACAACATCCCTGTGAAGAGACCGAACTGGAAAAGCACACCCAAGACCTCGCAAACACACATGAGCAACCTGAAAACACCAAACTGCATCGAGGGACCCAAGCACTTCTTGAGGTCCTCGAGATCTTTCCTGAGGTAGCACGTGCCATGGACTGCCATTGACAAATGCAAGCTTTCCATTGCCAATAAGAGTCTCGTGCCCGGTGGCACCTTCATCCCGGAGCCGATCGGCAGACGTGTTGAACTTGGACTTCCGAGCCAATGCGTGATCTTTGTATTTTTTCACTCGCTCCGACAATCTGTTCATCTCAATGGCAGGGAAGCTTTCGAGTTTCGACTTGGGCTCTTCGGGCTTCGGACCGGGCTGATCCTCCAGCCCCAGGCTTTCTGAGAGATGCAAGGAGAATCCCTGGAAGTCGCTTGGCAACTCTCCGGCGGCGGCCTGGGTTTCCTCAGCAAGCCTCAAGCTTTCCAAGGATTCGTCGTCCACCTTGTCCTCCACCTCCACCAGGAATTTATCCTGGTTGGTGTACTTGCATTTCCTTGCAATCGCAGTTTAACATAAAATACATGCAATGATAGTGCGAGGCAACTGCACACACCGACCATGCACCATTTGCGAGCAAAACTCTTCACCAGCTTGTGAGCCTGGCAATACTTCATCGCCCCCTGGATCTTGACCCTGAGTTGGGAGAGAGTCTTTCAGAAAGATGTGGCGAGATTTTCAACGATCTCGTAAGGGTCCGGCGTAGACCAGCCGGCCTTGGCCATGTCCTCCTCGGTCATCCAAGCCCGAATGACGTTGACCCGTTGGGATCGGAGCTTCTCGCGGCGGTACTTGATCAAGCATTCGATTCTTGCCTCCATGCAAGACACACAAATTAAAGGCCCATGCAAATGTACCTACAGTGCATGTGCTTCCTGTACGGATAAATCCGAAGATGCTGCACATGTAGATGTGTCGGTATATGTATGTCTTTGTATGCATGCACTTATGTAGCCAAATGTGTCATGACCTATGCATGTATATGCATAGGTTTATGTGTATACATATATATATATATATATGCATAGATATATATAGGTTTATAGGTAAAGGTATATGTAGTTGTATGTATATCTATATTTATGTGTGAAACCATACCTATATATACCATATATATATATATATGTGTGTATATATATGTACATGTGTGTGTATGTATATGTTCATGTATATCTGTGTATGTATGTGTGTATGTATGCATGTATATGTATGCACTTATGTATGTATGTGCATCTGTATGTCTATGTGTATATATATATATATATATACAGGTACTTAACCCAAAGCCAAGCTAAGTCTTCCACTCAAGTGCTGACGAGGTGGGAATCTGCACGTAGCATGCCTCAAAGGTTATGTGTGTATTTGGGGTAAAGACCAGGAGAGATATTGGAACCCACTGCGGTTTGTAATGGCTTTGCAACAGAAGATCTAGCAATCGGGTCTTCCTTCCGAGGCCATTGGGCCTGCAGGGCTGTGAATCTCTGACAAACCTGAACATAAACAACATGGGATTGTCTCTATCCGTAGGCTTCGGATTGGAAGGGGTTTCAGCATGTTTCAACAATCGACCCTTCCAGGAGCTGCCAGAACTGCAATTGTATAGATGGACCCGACGACTAACAGAAAGAGTTGTGTTCACATGCTTGTAGAGAGGTCCTCGCGTGTAAGTATTTAGGGCTTCTAGGTTGTATGGGCCTTATAGGTTCTTACCTGTATAGTCTCCATTGTAGTTCCTTTCGGGGGATATATACCTTATAGAATCCTTAGAATATATATGATTGGTTAAACCAACATAAAGGAACTACAATGGAGACTATATATATTCGTAAAAATTTAAACCTGGGCCAAACAATGCGAATGAGATCCCCACCTGGTTGCCGGTGGTGTCGCCCGGCTGGTAGCACTTCTTCACAAAGTCGCGAAACAAAGTGTCTTTGACACCGGGCTCCGTACCTTGGAGAATATATATGTAATTATGGGGCTTCCTAGGACATTGGCCCTAGAGGAGAAATGACAGCTTCTTCATTCTACACTGACTCGTGCGAGATGCTGTTCCACTTGTCATAGATCTCCTTGTCGACCTTTATGGTCCCTTTGGCAGAGGGGGTGCACATTCGGTAGAGGCAATTCCATTCCAACTTGTGGGTTCGGGAATTGATTTTCTCGTCGGCAGGTGCATGACGGCCCACGGCGTTCAGCAAGGCCTCAGCAGGACTGGTCCCCAGAACAGGTGTTCTTTGAGAGGGCATGATTCGGGATTAGCATAATTGCGAAGATAGTGGCCTGCTCCGGGTCCACGGCAGGCTTCGGCGAGTCCGTGGTCGCGGGGGTTCTGTCCTGCGTAGCATTTCGAAGTCTACAGATATGTTTTTCTATGAGGTTTGAGGGGGCTTCATGTTGCACTGTGTGTAAAAGGTTAGCACATTTCGGGGTTTATAGGGCTTCAATGGTTGTGTCTGTTGTCTATTGAGAATATATATAGTCTCCGTTGTAGTTCCTTTTTTTGGTTTAACCAAATATATATTAACGAGTTTATAAGGTATCCCCAAAAAGGAACTACAATGGAGACTATATAGTTTAAGTCGCACAGAGCAGCTCATCACGGCGTGCGGGGGGGATATTCTAGCACTTGTACGGCCTGCATGAAGTGTAACTGAACCCTTGGTATCTGCCTCACCTTCTCGAGGCTTTTTGTAGGACCTACTAGCGACCAGGGTTATGTACTGGAAGAGCCTCTTTGTAAACAAACCCTAAACCTTTAACCCTATAAAAACCCTAAACCCTAAAAGCCCTAAAAGCCCTAAAAACCCTAAAAACCCTATATAAGCCCTAGAAACCCTAGAAATCCTAGAAACCCTAAACCCTAAACCATCCATACGACTGTGTGTACATAGTGCCATAAGTAGATAGTATAAGCTATATACAAACACACCTTCTCACATACCATGTATATGTCAACAAGCACATGTCCTGCGAAAGCTGTGTTTTGTATGTGTGCAGGTATGCAGGTATATGTATGTCTGTGTATATGTGTGTATATATATGTTTGTATGCATGCATGTGGGCCTGGGCTGGGAGCTTCCTTGCTTTCGTATTCTCCTCCAGAAGCTCCTGCATAAGCTGAGTCACGACCTCATCGTAGTACTGCATGAGCTGCGACTGCATCTCATCCTCGGAAGCTCCTCTGGCGATGCCCTGTTGTATGATGTTGCTGGAAGCCCGGGTCATGGACTCAGTCGCGAGCTTGTGGATCTGTCGTTGCTCGTGCGGTGCGAGGATACCACTAGCAGCCTCGGCAGCCTCGGAAGCTGCAGTCGGCTCCGACTCCTGGGAAAGCAGCGACAGTTTCCTTTTGAGACTGCACAAGGACTCGGCTGATCCACCCTTCGACCCAGACTGCAAGGAAACTCCACTCGAGCGTCGCTGCTGGAAAGCCTCTCGCTCCTTTGCAAGTCTCTGCTCCTCACGAAGTCGAGCCTCCTCTCGCTCCTCTGCGAGCCTCTGCTCCTCACGAAGTCGAGCCTCTCGCTCCTCTGCGAGTCTCTGCTCCTCCTGAAGTCGGGCCTCTCGCTCCTTTGCGAGTCTCTCCAACTCCCGGTACTTGGCATCCTCTCGCTCCTTAGCGAGCCTCTGCTCCTCCAAACGTCTGGCCTCTCGCTCCTCTGCGAGCCTCTGCTCCTCGCGAAGTTGGGCCTCTCGCTCCTCTGCAAGCCTCTGCTCCTCAAGAAGTCGGGCCTCTCGCTCCTTTGCGAGCCTCTGCTCCTCACGAAGTCGGGCCTCTCGCTCCTCTGCGAGTCTCTGCTTCTCCTGCTCTTCTTCTTCGCGAAGAAACCGAAGTTGCTCCTCTGCTGGCATCGTCTCCTGGAAGTCCTCGTCGAAGAGGTTGGCCTCTGCTTCAGCCAGCTCCCTAGCATGTCGCTCTCGAAGCTGCCGAAGGGCCGCCTCACTCTTGAGTCGTTTGAGTGCCGATTGTTCCGCCTGCTCATACCCCAGCTTCCTCACACAAGCAGCTCGAGCGGCTCCTCGGTCTCGCTCTGCAGGAGAGCCGGCAGCAGCCAGCAGCGGATGCTTCTTGACCAAATCTGCTGCTGCTTCCAAAGCAGCAGAAGCCTTGTGCCCGCTCCGGGAAAACGGGCCATCATCCGTGTTTTCCTCGCTTGAGGAAGCCGCTTGGCCAGAGAGTTGTCTCTGCTTCATCTCCAAACCTTCCACCACGAGCTCCTTGGACCTTTGTCGCATTAGCGGATCCACCTGTCCATCCTCCTTCGACAAAAGCTGCAAAGCTGTGGGGCCTGCCTCTTTCCAAGCTGCCTTCACGGCGGCTTCCTGGGAAACCGTTAGACCTCCTCGAATCGCTGTCGGTCGGGGCTTCTTCGGGGGCTCCTCATTGACGGGCGTCTGCCGTGGGTCCTGGAGGGGCATCTTCGGCGGCTCCTCGAAACTGCCTGCGTGGCAAGTATATATATATATATGATTAGTTCTGTCGCACACAAGCCACAAGCATGCATGTCTATCGTCCTGCATATATATGCACACATGCATGCATACATACATGCATACATACGTATACATATACATATGCACATACATATACATATACATATACATATGCATATACATATACATATACATATTCATATACATATACATATACATACACACATATACATATATAGATACATACATATACATATACATATACATATACATATACATATACATATACATATACATATAGACATATATACATATATACATAGATACATAAGTATATATATATATATTTATATATAAATGCATATACATATACATATATATATATATATACATACCTACATACCTACATGCACATGTACATGCGTAGAAGCACTTACACACACACACACATCAACCGATACATTCCTAAACTGTCGAGACAAACGTCTACATAGTCTGTTTTATTATATAGCATGTACAGACTACATATGTTACATGCAAAGTACATATATGTAACATGTCATAGGCACATGTACAGAAATGTATACATATAAGTCATTGTACAGAGAAGCAAGCTGGATTGTCGATCCTGCTGGAATTACATTTCTGGCATCCAAAAGATTTGGCGTGGGTGCAGGTATGTGTGTATGTATGGGTCTAAGTTGGTATGCATCTTTCTATGTATATGTAGGCATGCATGCGTGAATTTAGCAAAGCTTCCTATAAAGGTATGTGTACCTACACATAGCTGTGCGTCTATGCATGCGTGTGTATATGTGTGTCTCTGCCTGTGAGATAGGGCTTTTGCCCTCGAGGGCTATGGCCATGAACTATGACGGCATGGTAGGGTCTGTGTTTTATGGTTTCTAGATGTACAGAAACAAAATGGCACCGGGTAACCTTCTGATGTTTGTGTCTATATTCCTAAGCCCTAAACCCTAAACCCTATAGTCTCCATTGTAGTTCCTTTTTTGTTTTAACCAAATATATATTGAGGATTAGAGGAAGTATATCCCCCAACAGGAACTACAATGGAGACTATAGATCATACACGGGGACCTCGAAACACATACTCAAGGGTTGTTATTTTTACAATGCAAAGAGGTCTTGTCGATACGGCGGGCCTGGGGTCTCGGCTGTGTCGGAAGACAGCTGACAAAGCTCAGCGACCAAGTCTCGTGAGGCAGGCGTGTCTTGCAAGGTCAGGGTCATTTGCCGTGTCTCGGGTGACAGACACGAAATGTCCATGCCAAACTTAGTCCAAGCATGCTTCAGAGGGGTCGTCGGCTCCAGCTTCACATTCTCCCGGGCATCCTGGGTTTCAGTATGCGAGGCAGGGGCAACTAAAAGTTTAGGGCAGGCCGGTACATGACTCCAAGTTATGCTGAGTAGCTTTGCCGTCCTCCATGGTGTGCGAGGGCTCGGGAAAGGTCACACGAACCCCTCCTGGAAACTACCTAAAGCCAAAAGCTTTCCTCGACATAGCTTCTAAGCGAAAGACTTTCATGGTCCATGTATCCAGGGCAGCAACCATCTTGCAATGTAGCCACTGTTGCAAAGCTGGCAAACATCAGCCATTCACAGATAGTTTCCGAAGAGACTCGTGTGTGCGGAGTCTTGCAAAAGCAAAGCCGGTTCAAGACATACAGACTCCTACTAACTACTAAGTCTATATAGACCCTATATACACCCTATAAACCTAAAACCCTTAGACCCTAAAACCCTATATAGCCACGTATAAGATCCCACCCTGAACTCTGAGCCGACCGAGGAAACAGGCCAGCCACCTCCAGTGGAGCTCGAGGAGGCTGGTCGCGATCCATGATCAGCTTCTGCACAGCAGGGGAGGGTTGCGAGGAATGGCAAGGGACATAAGACCAACCGCCCCAACTTAAGTCCTTGGAGAAGAACAGAACGAGCAATCTACATGATTCTAGAAGGCAAAAGACGGCATCGGTATCCCTACGTATCCCTAGGGTATCCATTGTATAGTTCCTTTTTTGGTTTAAGAAAGTTTTAAATTATATATAGGATCCTATAAACGGTAACCCCAAAAAAGGGAACTATACAATGGAGGCTACAGTATGTATAGATGCATAAGCAGACAAGTAGACATGTTCACGAACATGCGTGTATATACAGAGAGAGAGACACACATGTGTACATGTATACATGGATCTATACATACACAGATATAGATAGACACTATCTAAGCACCTTCACAGACATGTCCGATGCTGGCCTTGCCTTCCCCATCAGTGGAGTCGCCAGTGTTTGCATCAGTTGCTCCATCAGAGGCATCGGGGCCTGCCAGATGTCATGGTTCGACAGCCCTTGCTAATCGTGCTTAAATGCATCCAACCATTGCCTGTGCACAACAGCACACAGCACACATGTGTACATGCATGCGGGATGGATGAGTACTGCTCGGCGGCCAGGACAAGGGGAGCTGCTGGGCACTACAAGCGGCACAGGCGGATATTAGGGGCCGAGAGGTCGGGTTTTATAAGCTTCTAGGACAACTTTAGTGGCAAGTAGCTATTGTTTGGCTGCTGTGTGGTTGTCAGGATGACAGCGATGCTTCTGTCAGTACTATTTTTGTGCCTAAATAATCACGCATGATCTCGGTTTTTCGCTCGAGATCTCGGTAAAATCTCGTGATGTTCACGGCCTGTTTCGGCGTGCAGAAGAGCATAATGATACTGAGTGCTCTCGAAAGACCCAGATGTGCCGTGAAATCGCGAGAGACTGCGTGACATCGCGAGATATTGGCGTGACATCGCGAGATATTGCCGTGACATCGCGAGATATTGGCGTGACATCGCGAGATTTCGCGTGACATCGCGAGATCTCGCGTGACGTCTCGTGATCTCGGAAGAGGTTCTCGTGATCTCGCAACATAAATCTCGTGATTTGTGACGTGGGCATGTATGAGTGACCATGACATGTCAAGGAAGACCTCTGGAGTAGGAATTCACTTCTGGGTCTAGCACATTCAGGGTGTGGCTAGAAATTTTACCATTGACCCCTAACATGAAAGAAGCACCCACACACTCACACTCACAGAGCCACATTGGCACAACCCTATTTCTTGCAGCGAGGCGGACCTTCTTTCCCAGCAGGGAAACAACGTGGCACACTCGGATACAAAGTTGCCAATGTTCATTGTTCGGCACCCCTAAGCCCCTAAACCCTATAGTGTCGGTTCATTGCATCCGATCGGAGGAAAGCTAATTTCTTGCACTAACTTCTTGCACTCCGACGGCTGTAGAGGTTGCAGGCCTTCGGAAATGGCAGCACAAATATATAGTAGGTAGACAGAACGACGGGAGCTATACAGGAAACCCAAGACTAGAAACTTCAAGAAAGGCCCTGAAGGAAAGCCATCGGCTAGACTCACATAGGCTGTACAACTCGTCTTCTAGGACAAACAGCCACGGATGAGGCCACATCTCAGCTGTCCTCGGAAGCTGGTAGTCTGGAGGACTGCATGGGTTAGGGTTTATGTATATAGGGTGTGCATGTTGCTTTCCCAGGCTTCTGGGGGTGCAACTTCTTGCGGGTGTTATTCTGGCTTCCTCTACATTTCTAGACATACCTATATAGTCTCCATTGTAGTTCCTTTTTGGGTTTTATATAACCCATTAAAGGAATATATATATATATATATAAGGCATCTCCCAAAAGGGACTACAATGGAGACTATAGGTAGGTAATCTACATACCCTCTGTATACTTGAATGAAGCTTCACAACACCTCTTTTTACACCCGTCGAAACCCTACAGATGCCTTCGAAACGACATCCGGAGCAGGACCTAAGCTAATTGCAGTGGTTCCTATATGGTCTCCATTGTATAGTTCATTCCTTTCGGATTTAATTATGTATCTAAATAGGAGCCTAGACACAAGAGCAAACAGGAAGGAACCCCGATGGAGACTGTAGGTATAGTCGTAGGTATATGTATAGAGCTCTAAAACATAGTCTGGTCTTTTCATGCCTTGTATAGCTATAATAGGACCAGGACTATAGACTATACTACTACTGCTGCTACTGCTACAGCAACATGAAAAATCAGATAGTGCTACACACTATACCTATAGTCTCCATTGTAGTTTCTTTTTTTGTGGTTTAACCAGTTTTATATTTAGGATCCTAGAAGGTAACCCCAAAAAGGAACTAGAATGGAGACTATAGGTATATATACTATACAACGTAGAGTGTACTTATATACTACTAGAAATGCAATCTGGTAGCAATAGCAACAGAAGCAGCAGCAGCAGCAGCAGGAAGAGTACGAGGATAGCACGACCACTAGTAGCAGTAGCAGTAGTAGTATATAGTCCTAGTAGTCGCAGCCGAATAGTATATATACAATGTATAGTGCTAGTCGCAGTCGTCCTCGTCGCTGGTACACACAATTGTCGTAAGACTTAAGCGAAGGAAGCTCCCAGCAGGGAGTTTTGTATCTAGCACAAGAAGCTATGTAAAGGGCAGAGGCTCCAAAGAAATATATCTATATAGCCTCCATTGCACCTCCTTTTGTTTGCCGTAACCAATAGATACATACGTATATATCTCTATATATATATATACACACAGGCTCCTATATATATATATATATATCGTAACCCCATAAAGGAGGCACGATGGAGGCTATATAGTATATATAGCTAGACAGCTAGACAACTATACTTACACCCTGTATACTGCAATGACTCTACAGACACACACAGCCCAAAACTACAGAGATAAGTGATCATACACCCTGTCCTACTAGCAATGAAAAGCCAAAATCGCATGTGCCAGGATTCGCAGCACTCCGGCTGCCAGGAGAGCCCCCAGAGCTGGTTCCTTTTAGGGCTTCCGGACATAGGCTTTGGGGTTTCCTGCCTAGAAGAATAAGCTTGCATGAAATCTCCCGTTAATGTTGTTTCTGGTCTTCGTGGTTGTTCTACTAGCAGTATATACATTACCTATATTGTCTCCATTGTAGTTCCTTATAGACAATCTATATACATATGTATATGTAGGATCCAATTTATTTTCATGTGTATATATACATTTATACAGGCTGTATAGAAACCCAAGACAGGAACTACAATGGAGACTTTACGGTTTATAGGGTTCCGAGGTTCAGGGCCTGGGCTTTATATACGGGTCTGGTCGCAGGCAAAAGGCAGTAGCACAATCACTGGGTGCTGCACTTTCACTACTGACCGGCATGTTACCCAAAACCCTAAACCCTAAACCCCTAAACCCTAAACCCTAAACCCTAAACCCTAACCCTATATAGTCTCCATTGTAGTTCTTCTTTGGGGTAGTTCTTCTTTGGGGTTACCTTAGAGGCTCCTTAATACAAAGTTGGCTAAACCAATAAAAGGAACTACAATGGAGACTATATAGGTGCAAAACCGAATTCCCAATCCCAGGCCCATGCAACACTACACGGACAGGAAATCCCTAAAGGAACATCTTCCCGGTATCCCATATTGACCACACAAGCACCAAGCCGAACAAACTATGCAGCCCAAAACCCTATGGACCCCAGAAGCCTGAAACAAACAAGCCTGGCCGACAACCCTCAAGCTACCCCTCACCCAGTGAGCGAAGAAGGAGCAGAGGCACTGTCGTCCAAAGGGCGAGGCCATGACATCAGTCCTGGGAAGAAGGGGGATTCTGGCGAACAGTTTAAGGTTTCGGGTCTATATAGGGTTTATATAAGGCTGATAGGGTTTATAGGGTTTATGGGGCCGAACAACTCGGCATCATTTGGCTTGGGGAGCCTGAATAATGCGACTGTTGTTTTGTCCAAGGTGCCTACAGAAATCAGTCTAGAAGCATGAAAACAGTACAGAATCGGGATTCCAGGAAAGGACGACTATGACTAGACCAGTAATAGTACTAGTAGTAGCAGTAGTAGTGCTAGTAGTACT